ATAATAATTTAAAATTATACAATTATTTGCTTATTTAAGTTAACATATACTATAATTTTTATTAATGTAACAAATGATATATATTTATTATTACTAAATAAATAAAATTTATATATTATTAATAATTTAATATTGCTAATAAATTAATATCAATAATATTTTTAGTATATTTATAGATAAATTGATAATTTGATAAATATAACTTAGTATATATTAATATACTTTTACAAAAATATAAATATACATATCTTATCTACTATATTTATATTTTTGTAAAAGTATATTAATATATACTAAGTTATATTTATCAAATTATCAATTTATCTATAAATATACTAAAAATATTATTGATATTAATTTATTAGCAATATTAAATTATTAATAATATATAAATTTTATTTATTTAGTAATAATAAATATATATCATTTGTTACATTAATAAAAATTATAGTATATGTTAACTTAAATAACCTATTTGTGACAGAATTTTGAGAGGGAACAATCCGTCACTAAATTTTTTCATTTTAGTGACGAAATTTGTGACGGATTTTTTAGAGACGGAGTCCATTCCGTCACAAAATCCGTCACAAACATTTTTTTTATTTAGCGATGAAATTTGTGACGGATTTTTAGAGACGAAAACTTTTCCGTCACAAAATCCGTCACAAATTTTTTTTTTTGATTCAGTGACGAAATTTGTGACGGATTTTTAGAGACAGAATATATTCCGTCACCAAATCCGTCACAAAATTCAATAAATTCTAGTCCGTCACAAAACTTAAAATTCCCTCACAAAATGCGTCACTATTAGCGATGCTATTTTTTCCGTCACAAAATTCGTCACAAATATTAATTTTTCTAGTAGTGTTTTTTGGTAAAGTTGTATCATATCAAGTGCTTGTGTGGAATGAGCGATAAGGCGATGACAATGATTTTAGAACTCCTACAAGATGCATTTGAACATGCAAAGATTCCAAGTTCATTCTATGAGGCGAAGAAAACAATCAACAAGCTCGGTTTGAACTATGAAAAGATACATGTTTGTCCAAATAATTGTATGCTTTATTGGGGAAATAGCGAAGACGAAGAAAGGGAGACATGCAAAGTTTGTAATGCTTCAAGGTGGAAATCAAGAGCAAAAACAAGTAAGTCTGGGTTATCAGATGACAATAACAATATGAAGAAAGTGCCTGCCAAAGTTCTTCGTTACTTTCCTCTAAAGCCTCGATTGCAAAGATTATTTTTGTCATCAAAGACAACTGAGGATATGAGATGGCATGCTGTCAATAGAACCAATGACGAAATGATGAGACATCCTAGAGATTCTGAAGCTTGGAAGCGATTTGACTTAACACACCCTTGGTTTGCATCAGATTCACGAAATGTACGTCTTGCATTAGCTACTGATGGTTTTAATCCCTTTGGTGTTATGAGTTCAAGTTATAGCATTTGGCCCGTTATTCTCATTCCATACAACACTCCTCCATGGGTTTGCATGAAGCAAACATCTTTTATAATTTTCAATGATAATTCCAGGTAAAAAAATGCCAGGAAATGATATAGATGTCTACTTACAACCTTTAATCAGAGAGTTTAAGGAGTTATGGTCTATAGGTGTGGATGCCTATGATTCTTTTAAAAGAGAAATGTTCAAATTACATGCAGCTTTGATGTGGACGATTAGTGATTTTCCAGGTCTAGGAACACTTTCTGGGTGGAACACTTACACCGGACTTGCTTGCCCATCTTGTAACTTTGACTCCGTTCCTTGTCGTCTTCCCTATAGCAAAAAATGGTGTTTTATGGGTCATCATCGTTTCCTTGGAAAAAGACATAGATTTAGATTAAACAGAGTTCGCTTTAATGGTGAACAAGAGTTGCGTAGTCCACCAAAAACATTATCTAGTTCTGAAATTCTTGATCAAGTTCAAAATATTAATACCACATTTGGTAGAGTACCAGAGAAACAAGGGACAGGAAAAAGAACCCGAGGTGGGCAACGTGCACAAAGTAGTACTCAACAGTGGAAAAAGAAAAGCATTTTCTTTGAACTTCCATATTGGAAGGATAATAGTTTGCGTCATAACCTTGACATGATGCATATTGAGAAGAATGTGTGCGATAATGTCATATATACTTTGCTAAATGATAGTGTAAAGACAAAAGACCATGTCAATGCAAGAAAAGGTCTTCAAGCTATGGGTATAAGACCTGAGCTTTGGCCAAATGAAAATGGAAAATATCCTTTAGCTATCTTTACATTAAGCAATAGTGGGAAAATGTCATTTTTAACAACTCTAAAGAACATTAGGGTACCAGATGGTTATTCAAGTAACATTTCTAGGTGCATTAACTTGGATAGCCTCAAGTTGAATGGAATGTTAAAAAGTCATGATTTTCATGTGTTGATGGAGCAATTGCTACCATTAGCCTTGCGAGCAACATTGCCTGATGAGGTTTCAACAGTATTAATTGAGTTGTGCTCATTCTTTAGACAACTATGTGGTAAAGTGTTGAAAATTGAAGATTTAGAAAAGCTACAAAATCAAATTGTACTCACTTTATGCCATATGGAAATGTTATTTCCCCCTTCATTCTTCACTGTTATGATCCATTTGGTTGTTCACCTTGTTGAAGAAGCCAAACTTGGAGGTCCTGTCCATTACCGATGGATGTATCCTATAGAAAGGTAAAATAAAATGTATGCTAACATTCCTTCTTCTTTTATCAATTTGGTAATGAATTAGATTGTTCTAAATAAAATTTATTATCTTTCAATTACAGGTACTTGGGACAACTAAAATCCTATGTACGTAATAAAGCAGGACCAGAAGGCTCTATAGCAGAAGGTTACCTTATACAAGAGATTCTTACATTTTGTTCAAGGTATTTAGATAACATTGAGACAAGATGGAATCGACCTGGTCGTGTAGATGATGAGCCTAATAATACACAATCTCAATCACGAGTAGGTGAATTGTTTCCTATGGTTGGGAAACATGTTGGTGGCTCTTTATATTTCACCCTTACACCAAAAGAAAAGTTACAAGCTCATAGACATGTGTTAACAAATTGTCCTGCAGTTGATTACTATCTTCAGTAAGTAGTTGTTTCATTTGGATAAATTATTAAGTTTTCTTTTTCATACATTTAATATGATATAACTAAATAGGCAATATAGAAATATTCTACGAAGACAGCTAAGGGGTAGTTCAAGGAATGCAGCTGATGTGGATAAGAGGGTTCATAAAGACTTTGTTCGTTGGTTTGCTAATCGTGTGAGTGTTTATACACTTACAAGTTCATTGTGATTGTCTTTTAATAGAATTTTACTAACTACATATATTATGGCATTTAGATTGGCAATAATCTCGACAATCTTAGCGGACCAGATAAAGATGTTCTTATTAGTCTTACACAAGGTCCTTTTGATCGAGCTAGGAGATTCACAACATTTAATGTTAATGGATACAAGTTTCGAACGTTAACACGAGACAATTTATTAAAAACTCAAAATAGTGGAGTTTTTGGCATGTTTGGAACAAGAAGCTACTCAAGCAATAGTGATGCCCATATGAGGTTTGGGGGGGTGCCATATTATGGAAGATTAGTAGATATCATTGAGATTTGTTATAATGGATTCAATGTACCCATGTTTAAATGTGAATGGGCCGACACCACTACGTCAAGAGGTATAAAAGAAGATAAATTAGGTTTTATCTCTATTAACTTTGCAAGACTAATACATACTGGAGAAAAAGAAGATGACGAACCATACATTAAAGCTTCTGAAGCCCAAATGGTTTATTATGTGGATGATGAAAAGGAACGAGGTTGGAGCATACCAGTTCATTTGAAGCCAAGAGACTTTTATGACATGGGTGGAGACAATGAAGAAATTATGGCATCCATTGAGGCATACCCATCACAGAACTTGGAACAAATTTTTTCTGATGATACCACCCATGTACAAGTAGCAAGAACGATGAGAGATGATGACCCTGAAACTCCTACCATTACTGATAATCTTGATGAGGATAATCAAGATATGGTTTTATGATAATCATAAGTAAGCAATCTCTTAGTTTGTCTTGTTATTTTTAAATTTAATAGCAACAAATCGTTATGTTTATAACATGTGATTAATAATGGATTTTTCAATATTACTCTGTTTTCTACACTTATCTTGATTTGTCTATTTATGAATTATATACCTATATTGTTACATGTTTAACTTCTGATTATAATTATTAAACTTAACATTATGGTTTGTACAGGTATGCCTCGTACAAGAAGACATATTGTAACTAGGTGTCAATCCACACCAAATGAACAAAACAAATCTTCTATGGGCACTTTTCAAGGTGAAGAGGTTCATCTACCTCAAAGTGTGCCCATTGCACATGTTGGATCAAATTCTCAAGATGAGATACATGCAGTTTCAGTTACTCAATCCGAATCTAGGTTACCACACCTTGAACCTGATTTGGGTGAAGATTCATCTACAACTCAAAAAAAATCCCCTACCTATTGGAATGTTGATGTTATTAGTATGTCTAATTTAATTTTAGTTTCTCTCTATTATTTTGTGTTGCCTAACTTATTGGGTTACTTATGTTTTGTTTACTTTTATGTTAGATGAAGGGGGTGTTGTTAGTCATACACGTTTAAGGGTGCAGGACGTGTTTGCTACACGTGATGCCACTAGGGTATGTACCAAGTGGAATGTTGAAGGTCAACCAGTAGGAGAGTCAGCTGGTTTATTAGCAGGGTTTTTAGGTGAAATTGCAAGCAACTTCAACAATTTCCCCATAATGTACGAGACTTGGAAAAAAGTTCCAAACGATTACAAGAATAATGTTTACAAAGAGACTATAAAGGTATCAATTATAACTAACTAAACATACTTGATTTCTAGTGGAATCTATTAGCTTACTAATGATAACTTTCATTATGTTGTGTTGAAGGCAAAATTTGATGTTAATGATCAAGAACATAAGAAATTTATCTTCTCCAGTTTGGGGAAGAAATGGAAGGACACTCGGAGTAGGATGTTTCATAAAAATTATAATTGGGAAATTTCTGTGGAAGAAAACTGTAGGAAGCACCCACCAGACATTGACCCAGACCATTGGAGGCTTTTTGTACAATTTAGAACAAGCTCTAAACAAATGGTAATATGCTTTCATTCCATTGATTATAAGGTTGGTTACATTTATTGACACTTAGGTGTGTTAATAATGCAGGAGATATCAGATAAAAATGCAGCAAATCGTGAAAAGTTGTTGATCCCACATACTTTAGGATCAAAGACACTAGCTAGAAAAAGGGATGAGATGGTATATATATAAACTTCATTAATTCTATTTGTTATAAAAAAAATAACAAAATAAATTGTATAATTATTTGTTGTGTGATGCAAAACCTCAGGAATCACAAAATGGACGACATTATAGTAGAGGAGATATGTATCCAATTGCTCATAAAAAAAAAAGATGGATCCTTTGTGACTGAAGATGCTAAAGAAAAATGTGTAAGTATAGTATATTATTTATAACTTCACTCATATAACTAATCTTTGAATACTTATGTATATGTTTAACATTATATGTAGGAACAATTGCATAAAGAAATTCAAGAAACTTCTTCTGAGAATGAGGCCTTCTTTTTTTTTTTATACTCTAACTTGTGTGTTTTATTTTTCTAATTTTAGGTGGTGGACTTGGAATCACCAAGAGATTTGAGGCGATCTTCCCAATCTAGTCATGTGCCTGAAGACAATGGAGGATCATCCCATGGGACTATTTAGATATTTGTTCAAGTTTTAGTTTGTTAGAAGTTTGCTGAACTTAAGGACCACCTTTATGTTTCTTGATGTTTATGTATCTTGTTAAAACTTAAGGATCATTTTAATGTTTGAATGACACATATCTTATGCAATTATTATAGATTTCAAATCTTAGTTAATGAATGACATTTTCATCTCATTTATCTTATTTGTATCAATTTACTTTTATATTTATGTTTTTTAGACGAAAAAATAATGAATAAACAGGTTAAATTGTTACAATTAACAAAAATGTTGCTTAAAAATGGTTGACATGTATTTGGCATTTTGTGACGGTTTTACAACTGCTTCAATATTATTGTTAAACACTGTTACATTTTGCGGCGGTTTTGACATTGTCGCTAATTATTTCAAAATTATATTTTGCGACGGTTACAAAACTGCCGCAATTTTATCAGTATATTTGTTTAGGGATTTTACGACAGTTTTGAAACCCGCCACTAACTTTTACCAGATCCTTTTTTTATTTAGCGGCGGTTTTAAAACTGCCGCAATTTTAATAACATATTTTGCGGCTGTTTATACGACGGTTCTGAAAACCGCCGCAAATATACTTGTCGACGCTTCACATTGCAACGGTTTTAGAACCGCCGCAAGATAATTTAGTGGCAGTTAAAACCGCCGCCGGTGTAAATAAAAAAAAGTCGCCAAATGAAATGTTTTTTTTTGTGTGTTTCCCACT